TGCTCGAAAGTGACCTCATCAGTTGTGGCCTTCCCTGATTGCTTTAGATAAAATAGCACAGAAAAGTGGTAAAACCAGGTGGGCGACCCCAGCACTGACTAATCACTGGAGACCACACCCTGAAAGGATACACTTGGGAAAGCTAATGAATAGTCTATTGAGATCCTTCCCTAAGACCACCCCTAAACTCCGAGCCTTTAAAAACCCTCAAAATGAAGGTCCCACAGCTTGCTCTCCCTCCAGGAGCATGCTTGCACCTTTCCCTCCTCCCTCTTCTTCCCCCACAGGCATGCATCTCCTTAACTATAAGGGTCTCCTTGAGACGTGCAACCAGGGGAGCAGCGAGCAGTGAGCAGCAGCAGATCCTCCCAACCTAACCTTCTGAACCTGTCTCCAAGGCCTCCTTTTCTCTGACTTCTCAGTGACCCAAAGCAACCCTGCCTGGGCTCCTTTCTTTCCTATAACATTTTTAGAGAACAAAAGCAGCTCTGCATAGGCTCTCTCTCGTTGCTCATTTTATCCTAAGCTCTTTCTGGTTTCACTGTCCCCAGCTTTAATAAACATACTCTCAATCACCTGGACTCGCATTGTGAAATCTTTCCTGCATGAAACTAGGGACCCACACACTACTGGCTGGCCCTAGGCAGACCCACTCCAGGCTGATCCTCTTTAAGGTAACTCATCATCTATCTTATTTATTTGTCTATGGCCTCTCTCTCTCTCTCTCTCTTAGAATGTAAGATCCATGAAAGCAAGGATGTTGTCTATCTTGTTCACTGATGAACCATTAAGTTCTAGAATAGCTCCTAACTGATCAATAACTAGTTGTTGAAAGAATGGACAATGAATGGATGAATGGAACATTTTTGCTATTATTTTTCTCACATAGAGAAACATTAAAAATTGTTCTACACTGCCCAGCTGGTGTGGCTCAGTGGTTGAGCATCAACCCATGCACCAAGAGATCACCGTTTCAATTCCCAGTCGGGGCACATGTCCAGGATGTGGGCCTGATCCCCAGTGGGGGTATGCTGGAAGAGGCCAATGGATGTTCTCTCTCATCATTGTTTCTCTCTCTCTCTCCTCTCCCTTCCTCTCTCTCTAAAATCAATAAAGAAAAAAAATTTTAAATTGTTCTACACCAATAAAAATGTGCACCACTAGGGAAGTATACATGATTGGTAAAATACAATTTTCGAAGCTAAATTTTTGAGAAATTAAAGTCATTCTAAAGTTGTCCAGAAATTCATTAGCTATAAGAATGGTACAATAAAACACACAGCAATGAAAAATAATGAATTAGAACAATATACAGTGACCTAAAGATTTGTCCAAATATGTTAAGTGAAAAAAAAAATCAAGCTTAAAAGTAATAAAATTAGCATCATTCTATTTTTTTATATTTCAATGACTACATTATATAAATATATGGTTTTTGATCATAGAGAAAATAACTTCAAAAGGGTAGAATTAAAGTAGAAAATCTTAAACCTCAATTATAAACCTGTATATTGCTTACCTTACTGACATAATCATTTATTATTTTCATAATTTTTTATATAATAAAGGTGTTTTATAATGTAGGCATTGAGTAGCTTTTGGTTTTATAAATAGTTAAGTCTTAAAATGCAAAATCAAATGATCAAATGCTTGAGTCAAAGTTAAGAAAAGAATGAACTAGATAAATTAAAAAGCCTCCATATTTTTCTTTCATTGCTTATGTAACTCAAAATATTTTCAAATAGTTCAAGTGAATTTAATGTAATAAATGCATCCAAATTATAAAAGATCTAATTTTTTGTTGTTGTTAATCCTTACTCCAGGACATTTTTCCATTGATTTTTTTAGAGTGGAAAGGAGGGAGGGAGAGAGAGGTATCCATTCGTTGCTGCCTGCACAACCCTGACTGGGGCTGGGGTTTGAACCTGCAACCTGGGTATGTGCCCTTGACCCGGAATCAAACCCAAGACCCTTTGGTTCGAAGGCCAACGCTCTAACCACTGAACCAAACAAGCCAGGCCAAAAGGTCTAATTTTTTAAAAGAAGGAAATAAACAGATTATCAAGGAACCATTTCTTGATATTGTTCCTCAGGAGGATGGTCCAACTCCTGAAATTAAATTAATTTGGGGACTATTCATTTTAATGATCTGGAGCTTTCCAAGTGTCATAGACAGGGCTGTGGTAGATTAAATACAATAACTGGAGTAATGCAGGCATGGAAGTAGGCTTAAGAGAATGACAGCATACACTACCTCCTCCAGAATCTCAATTTCGTTAGCAACAGTGCAGTTAATGAGTGCTAGAAGTAGCCAATTATTTTTTACATTGTTTAAAATATATGTTTTTACCTATGGTTTCAATCTTGAAATTTGCTTCACATTCCATTCCAAGCAAATCAGATACTATATATATATATATTTTTTTTTATCCTCACCCCAGGACATTTTTTTATTTTTTGTTCAGATAGAGTGAAGAAAGAGAGAGAGAAACATCGATGTGAAAGGGACACATCGAGTAGCTGCCACCCGCATGACCCAACCAGGGCCGGGGACAAACTGCAACCGAGGTACATGCCCTTAGCGGGAACCGAACCCAGGTCTCTCTGGACTGCAGGCCGACGCTCTAACTGCTGAGCCAAACCGGCCAGGGCTATATTAAAGAAATTTAATTCTGAACAAATTGGTGATCCCTTGATATAATATATATCATATGTTTATGTATAATACGTGTATAATATTATACACATAAATGAGCGTACATTTTAGATATAAAATATTTTTATAATTTGAAACTACAAAACTGAGATTTTCATACTATGAAAAATGTGAGATTTCGCACATGGTGAAAAATTTTCTTTGAATTAATAAAAGGTAATAAGCCTGGCCAGTGTGGCTCAATGGATTGAGCATCGTCCCATGCACCAAGAGGTCATGGGTTTGATTCCCAGTCAGGGCACATGCCCAGGTTGTGGGCTTGGTCCCCAGTATGGGGCATGCAGGAGGCAGCCAATTGATGTTTCTCTCTCTCTCCCGATCTCCCTTCCTCTCTATCTAATAAGTCAATAAACATATATTTTTTTTAAAAATAAAAATAAAATAAAAGCTAATAAAAATTCTTGGGTTGTTTGGATTAGCAATGATACTCAAAATTTTTATTTTTTTAGTATTCACAATGCTACAAGGGATAAATAACATATGTCCACACCAAGAGTTATACAAGAATGTTCATAACAGCCTTATTCATAACAACCAAAAACTTGAAACCAAATGCCATCAGTGACAGAATAGATGACTAAGTATGGACTAGTTATACAATGAAACAATACTCAACAATAAAAAGAAATAATTCCTGATGCAACAATATGGATGCATCTCAAAGATATTATATTGAAGACAGACATAAGGCAGGAGGAAGTCAAAGTCAAGGCCATCCTTGATATCATTTATATGAAGTTCAAGAACAGACAAAACTAGTCTGTTGTGATTGAAATCAGAAAATGGTTGTTTCAGGGAAGGGGATTATCTAAAGAACTAGAAAGGAGCACAAAGGAACTTTATGGAGAGATGAAAATGTTCTATATCTTGTTTGGGTGGTAGTTACATTAGTATATACTATTATTAAAAGTCATGAAGTTGAAGTAAGATCCATGGGTTTTTATTATATGAAAATTATACATCAACTTTAAAACATTACAAAGAGCTATCATTAACTAAAGTTTGTGCCATAGCTTATTTAACCATTCCTCTCATGTTGGACATTAGTTTTTTCCCCACTTTTTCACAATTATAAATTATAATACAATAAATATCTTTATGCATATATTAGGTTGATCCATATAAGATTACCAATCTTCAACATATCAATGTACAAAAATGACAAGTCCATGTTTCAACATAATAATTTTTTAATATTTTGGATTATTCCCTTAGGTTAAACTTTCAGCTAAACTTGAGCTAAATTTATGAACACAAAAGGGTGTTGATATATATTGCTAAACTGCCTTCCCTACTAGTTCTCCAAATGTAAAATTCTTACTAACCTTTTATAAACCTACTTGCACCTTAATATTTCTTTATAATTTGATAGCCACTTACATCTCTTCCACAACTGTATGCATTGTCTTCTATCTTACCAGCACTTTGTAGTTTTCTTATGGCTCATAACACATTCTTCTTCCATCATGTATGTGTATACATATGGGTGTATAAGAAAACACCTTCTGGAGGACAAGAACAATGTCATTTTTCTTTACCTCTTAGCCCAGTACCTTGTGTAGGACATTCATTCATTCAAGGAAGTCTATTGAGTGTATACAATGGACCAGTAACTGAGCTAGGTGCCACAGGCATTCAAAATGTTCACCGAACCGAACACCACTAGTTTCAGATATGCCTTTATTGTACCAGCGGGTCTCACTCAACGTTCACGCCCCGCGTTTTAAATTTCCAGATTAATGCTTCCTCGTTTCTATGGTGCACTTAATCCGGAAACAAAAGCTCCGACAGCCTTTAAATGTGATGACTATGTACGGGTCCTTCCCTGGCCCTGTTAACAACTCCTTCAAATGCACCGAGCACCCATACTCTGGGGGACTTCGGACGGGACAGTAACATCGAAGGAAGCCTGGCGGTGCCGGGACTTTTCCCCGAAGTCTGAAGGGGGCCGAGGTGAGGGCACCAGTGTAATTAATACACAAATCAGGGCAGTACGAACTCACTCTCATTCCGGGCGCCCTCGCTGCCCCACCCCACTCCCCTGGGTCACCTTACTGGGAGCGTGGGACTCACACCTCTCGCGGGGTCTGAGGCGAGCCCCGCCCCCGGCCCCGCCCCGCCCGCTCTGTCCCTGGCGCACGCCCGGAGCCCCGCCCACCGGCTGAAAGGGCGGGCGGGCGCTGTTGCTCATCCTGCTGCGGACGGATTTGCGGCCGGAGCTGCGCGTCACCGGCCCGCACGGGAGCGCCATGAGCGCGCGCCCGAGCCACTGACAGCCTCCGGGATGGACTGTGACTCGGTCTCGGGAGAGGGGCCGAAGCGCCTGTCAGACCGCCGGCGGCTTCTGCTCTTCCTCGCTGGCCGCTGTGGAAGCCGGGGCGGCCGGGGCGTCCTGGCGCGCCTGTCCGCACTCCCGGAAGGTCTAGAGGCTCTGGTCCCCCACGCGCCGGCGGCCCGCGTGGCCTCGCGTGCTTCCGCACTGTACCTCCTGGTGCTGCTGCCCTCCCCGCGCCTGGCTGCCGCTGCCCTGCGCCGACCGCCGGGAGACTGGGAGCGCTCGCGCCTGGGGCCTTCGGCTGCCCCCGCCGGGCGCTGCTCGGCTTGGAGGTGCCAGCCCGGACTCGCCCCGGGCGGCGCCTGTGCAGCCAGCCCTCTCTACCTGTGCCATGGCCGGGTGCCCGCCCTCACTTCCTCAAGGAGAGGTAGGGTCTGGCGTCTCCGGAAAGGGGGCTCACCTCGCGGGGCTGGGGCAGTGGGCTGGGTGGAGCTTTTGCTTTGACCGCCCCGGGAGACCCAGACGTCCGGTCACTTGAGGTCACCGGGCTCCTCCTAGGGCGTGGGGACGAAGGTCTGTCTGGCCCCACCCTCCTGGTCCGCGGTATCCTGGGCTTGGCCACTAAGAAGACCTGAATTACTCGGATTACGTGTACAAGGGTTTGGGCGCAAAATTGGAATGGATTTGGGGAGGGTGCTGCGTGCTGGGGCAGTGCGTGGTGCACGCCCTGGTGCAGAGCTACCACGTAGGCGCTTGCGTACAGGTGGCTGTTGTGACAGGTGCTCCCCTTGTTGCAACTCAAGTGAAGGATGTGCAGAAGACTTGCAAGTTTGAGAAGTGGAGATCTGGAAATGAAGGCACTGTTTTACGATTTAAGTTTAAACTCGAATGCATTCGTGGATTCATTCATAAAGTAGGAGCTCCTACCCTGTACCTGGCACTTTCCTAGATATTTGGGATCTGCCAGTCAACAAAATGCCTTCCTTCTTGGAGCTTAATTCTAGCAAAGGAGATGATATAATATGTGTTTAAATAGATAGATATAGGTGTGATTTTTATATATGCATAATCTGATATGTAGGAAAAAATAGAAGTGGTAAGGCTTAGGAAGTGGGGTGGGCTTCCAGTTATGAATGTAATAGTGTCATCAGAGTAGGTTTCATTGAGAAGGTGGCATTTGACTAAATACTTGAAAGGAGCAACGGCAGTCACTGCCCTACATGAGAATAAGGAAATCTAAACAGGCTGAATTGACTAGATAGCAAATTGTTGATTAAAATGTCATCCTTTGGGGTAACGTTTATTGGCAAAAATATCACTTTGGGAGTGTATTTTTCCATCAGTAGCCATCAGTAACCACTGTGGTAGCTTTTTTTGTTTGTTTGTTTGTTTGTTTTTCTCAACAGAAATGCCCAGTAAATGTTGTCTGCACCTAAAATCTAAGAAGACCCTTGGCTGGGGGAGAAACTGATTGGTAGAGCAACAAAGTGAACAAAGATTTACACACACAGGGTGGGGAATGAGTCGTGAGTGAACTCTGTCAGTGTCTAGCAATAATTACCAGTTAGAGATGGCTTTGACCTTTATTTCTGTACTTTGCCTTTTGGTGCTCTTTTTTGACAGGCTGGAAACTTGTAATTTATTTTCTTCTCGTAACTCAAGATTATGGAGCAAAGGGGAGAGTGTTCTTTCTCATCAGTTTTCTGTCTTTGTAGCAAGGTGATAGTGTTGAATTGGTTTCAAATTATGTCATTCTTCACAGAGTGTGGATAGATTCATAAATATGGGGAAACACAGCCAAGACAGTTAAGGAATAATGTATGCCCATTAACCATCAGCAAGTGAAAGTTTTGTTCCTTTGTCTTCAGCTTAGTGGTTTGTTTGGCGCTGAAGGTTCTAATTAGGGCTACTTAGACTTAAGGATGTTATGTATAGGACATTTGTACTTGATTCCCTCCTCTGGTCAAGGCTAACATTGGGCTTCTTTGTAAATGTGTTTTTAATATCCTTTTGATATACTGAAGTGTCCTCAAAGGAGAATTTCATATTACACTTTAACATGGCTCAGTTTACTTGCTTCCTGGTTATAAGTAGAAATTTATAGTTCTTGGGGCTCATTTTGTTGTCACAATAAAAGAGGAAATGTAAGCCTGGCCAGTGTGGCTCAGTGGTTCAGCATCGACCCATGCACTAAGAGGTCGCTGGTTCGATTCCTGGTCAGGGCACATGCCCAGGTTGTGGGCCAAACCCCCAGGGCATGCATGAGGCGGCCAGTCAGTGTTCTCTCTCATCCATGTTTCTATCTTTCTCTCCCTCTCCTTTCCTCTCTAAAAATAAGAAAGAAAGAAAAAAAAAATTTAAGAGAAGAAGAAAAGTGAGTCAGAGGTGTTCTGAATGTGAGAGTGTTGCTGCATCCTCAGCATTGCCCTATGACAGAAAGCAAACTGACATTGACTGTCAGTCAGCAGGGCTGGAGGGCCAACTGGGAAGTGGCCAGCCCTTTTCTCCACTTCTCAGATGACAATATTTCTTTGAAATAAGCTTGCAATTGTAATAAATTCTGATAATTTATTGGGGAAAAAATCTGCAGTATCTACATTGGAATTAGCTCTTACTTAGATAGTAATTGTGATGCTGTGTGTGTGCGTGTGCGTGTGCGTGTGCGTGTGTGTGTGTGTGTGTGTGTGTAGGGCATGTTGTTTTAAATCACATGAAAGATTATTTTGTTATTAGAAACAAGGAATTCGGGAGTAGACCCTTCATAAGCCAGTTCTAGACTCAAATGTTTTCAAGCTCCCTAACCCATGACAATCCAGCACAGTTCTAAGACGGTGGGGTGGCCTGTAGAGAGCCCCTTGAGAGGTACATTCATTCATCCCTTCACCCACCGATGTTTCTAGAGCTAGGTCTGTTCTATGTCAACAGACGTTCAGGGTTTCTTCTTGTGGAGGCCACTTTTTGTCCCAGGACTGGAGATGAGGAATGGAAAAAAAGGTACCCATTTATGTGGAAAGGGAAGACCATAGGTGAAGAGAGGAACACTTGCTCCCGTGATTTTTTTTTTTTTTTTTTTTTTGTGAGCATGTAATAAGATGTGCCTCCCTTAGCATAGTATCTGTCACCTGATAATTAGTGATACTCTTATTACTTTTGCCATCGTTACTCTGTCCTCTGAGCATGCTCCTAGGCCCGGTCCCCACACATATTGGACTAGACATTATGACTCTGCCCCATAATCATAAGTAGCTGGGCCCATCAGGGCCTCTCAGAGGTCAAGAGGCTGGCTGTGCCCAGTAACTGGCAATGTGACCTTGGGCAAGTATCTCAATCTCTCTGACCCTTATTTTTCCTTGTATGGAAAACGAGGGTCATAATAGACCTAAATGCCCCATAGGATTGAAATGATAATCAAATGAGTTACTGCATGAACAGCATTTAGCACAGTGCAGGGCACATAGTAAGCACCTTTAGATGTTAACTATTCATGTTACTATTGATCCATGTGACTACAAGTTATTTGAGTGCTTGTTGTATACCAAGAAGTGTTCTACGTGGAGCAGGTACGTAGTGAACAAAACCAGACACAGCCTGACCTTGCAGAGCTTAGATTCTAGAGGGAGAAGACAAACAGTAAACAAGTAAATATAATATCTGGTAGGGAGCAGTGCAATTAAAAGCATTAGAGCAGGGTGGGATCTGTGATATAGATGATTAAGAAAAGGGGTAACATCAAGCTCTTCACCGAAGAGCTTTTGGGTTCTCCTTCCTGACCTTTGCAACTTGTTTTGACCAACGAAATGTGAATAGAAGTGGTAGGTGTCACTTCTGAGAGGAATTGCAGAGCAACTGTGTGATTCTCCACATCCCTTTAAAACAGAGAAAAAGGAATGAAAAAAGAGGTACTTGTTTATATAAAAAGGGAAGATAACAGGTTAAGAGGAGAAAGGAGTTGATCTCAAAATGTCCTTCTAGACAGTTTCATGATCCAGATCTTAGAAATCATACAATTGAATGTTTGTTCTTTAATATTTTTGTCCTACAGTATGCCAGGCCCCTAACAATACAAAAATGACTAAGATTGGCTGCTCTTGGGATCGTGGACTAATAGATAAGTCAGATATCTGTCCTGGGCTGAGAACACAGATAAGGGAGCAATAAAGGCTGCTTTCTGACCTGGGTGGAGTTGGCAGAGAGAACCATATATTGTATAACCATAACCAGAAACACAATGAGTGCTTAGGAAGTTGTCAAATTAAATGAACAGGGGTAAAGAAGATGCTTAAAAGTTACCAGGTGAGAAAGGGGAGCAAACCAAGCTTAAGGATGGAATACCAAAGTATGAAAGTTTAGGAACAGAATAGCATAGGTGGCTAGAAAGAAAGCTGAAAGGTTAAGTGTGGGCCAAACTGGAACAGGCTTTGTATGCCTTGCCAAGGACTTTATAGTATAGGCTAGTGCTTCTTTGAATCTAAGGGCCCTTTATTGACCATTAAACACATACATACAGACAATAGTTGTTGCATTTTATATTTTGTCAGTCTGCAAACTGTGTGCTACAGAGTGATTATTGGGTTGATTGATCTTACTGTGATGCTTGCTGACTATGACCACAGCAGCCCTACTCTTTCCAAATAGCCAGTAAATTGGGAACCAGTGCTCTAGGCTTACAGAGAAGAATCAGATCTGTGGGGTCCTGTAAATGTCATGTTTTTGCTTACTTCGCAGTTATTTAGAGTGTAGGGGTGAAGAATTGAGAATAGAAGTTTAGCTGAAGTATCTTTTTGGTCATTTAGGAGAACTACTGAGAAAATGTTTGAACTTTGAGTTAGTAGATGAGTGTTCTCTCTTCTACCACTCTTCTACAACACCTGGCATCATTGGAAAGAAAGGACAGATATGTAACAAGATTTCCACATAGCTATGTTTATAATATTTAAATGGAAGGTTTTTATTTTATGTTGTCCATCTCTTTTTTTCCTATGAAAATGTCTTTCTTATAATGATTATAATAGTAAGGAGCGATTATGTTTAATGTCCTTTCTTGACAAAATTATAAATTGACACTGCAGTTGTTACGTTTTCTTTTGTTGTTGTTGTTGTTTTTAAAAAAAACTAGTATTGTGGTTCATGAACTACAAAAACCAGGAAACCATTACTATCTACCTCCTTCAAATGAGTACCTTGAAAAAACTTTACAAAATGGGTTGGATTTGTGGTTAAGTGCACAGAAATTCATAAAAATAATAATATACAAATTATTAGAACTCATCTCTCCAAAAATGGGCTTTTGCAAAGACATCACAAGAAAAGAAAGTGATAGATTAATATCTTTTATAAATAAGGACACTAAATTCCTCCAAAAAATACTGGCAGGCAAAATCTTACAATACATAAGAAGAAGTATACACCAAGACCAAATGGGATTTT